GTACAGACATGGAAGTGGTTCTTTGACTTTCGATTTTCGGTCTCCGTTGCTGAAAAAGAGAATGGGTGAAGCTTTCCAGGTCCGCTGCTGCCAATCCTCAAGCGTAAAGAGTTACGGTTCGTGACATCATTAAGGTCTACTAGGTCAGGTGTGATCAGAGCCGTATCAAGTACGAGTAAGTTGCTTCTGTTCGCGACTCCAGTACACGTCTCAAACAGGCCGAATTGTGTGGATGTGTGGATCAGATATTCACACTGAGATGGATCCTTGAATTCCGCCATAGCTACCAACAACGAACGGCCGCTGCATTCTATTCCTTCGAGTGAAGTTCACTGACATCCTGTCAAATGAGACAGACCACACTCGCTGCGACAATATCGCGAGAATATCTCAGGCCATCCAAGAAAGATGACTGCGGTAGTCTGGGCACGTTCTTTGTCGTCTGCCTCACAAGCTTTACTCTGCTGTCCTCTATCCGGAGTCACAATCCACCTGGACGCGTTCAAGTAGAGGACAACTGAAGACTTGGCTAGATAGCATTCGTCCAGACATGGAAGTGGTTTTTGGGCTTTCGATTTTCAGTCTCCGTTGCTGGAGAAGAGAATGGGTGGAGCCTTCCAGATTCGCTGCTGCCAATCCTCAAACGTAAAGAGTTACGATCCGTGACATCATTGAGGTCTACTAGATTAGACATGATTACGGCTGTATCAAGTATAGATAAAGAGAGCGAACTGCGGGCGAAACTCCCATCAAAGAGTAGTCAGGCTCAGGGACAAATACGCCAAAGGTTACTTGGGTTAGCTATTAGTCTTTTTAAATCTGGAGTACAACATAGGCGCCGAAACTGACTAATCGTTAACCGAATTCTCAACATCTGGCGAACTAATTAGCCTGCAACGTTATCCCTAGATCATTGTTGTTGAGCACAGTGCCATTGCTCTCTGTATACAGTGGGTTATCTAACTCATGAAATCCAGGGATTTTTACAAGTAACTCCCCGTTACTCAAAGGCAGCCCATGCTGCGGCCCCCAAAGTCTTACAGCAATAAGGTAATGGACATTCTTCACAATAGGGCATATTGTGATTTATGATGGAGTATAGAGTTTTATACAAATACCAGCTTTTTTAGCAAGGTGGAAACTTCCGAAAAAGTGGAAATTGGGCGTACTAAGTAAACTTAACCTTTAACATGTAGAGGAAGCCTCGTTTGCAAAACCACCGAGTGAATAAAGCAGCACAAGTAAAATTACGTTGGAAAATAAAAAAAATTTGTAAAAGCTTCGGATACATATGTTTCCATATTACGTACAATGTAATGTATGGCTGTTATCGAACAGCCAAAATTTTGAGCATGTATTCTAACACGTTTTCACGAGAACTGCTAGTTGTTTCTTTTGGTTATATATCGCTCGAGTTACTTTGGACTAAGGCAACCACGTTCCCGCTTGATTTGGCCCATTGGGAGATCACAGGAGTAACATATTTCTTGATCTCACGTACGGACATGCCGGTCAGTGACTAATATATTTAAATGGAATTGTCAGGCACAATCGTAAACGTACCATTTTCTTTACGCTAAGAGTAATTGCCTTCCGCCATATTCCTTTGTAATTTTTTTGGGATTCCGATTACGGAGAGGTTCAGATCTTCCTTGAAATGCTAAGTAAGACTTAACGATTTATACTGGCTTCAGTCGATCGATCATAAATAATGATAATATTCTACGTGCTTACTAAAACCTTCAAAATACGATACATCTTAGAAGCATTTACCTCAATAGCGAGCTTTTAAGCATTCTTTCTTATGCAGCTGTCTGTGTGTCATGGTTCCAGAACCACCCAAACATGTCAACTCATTGCCGAGAAAAATGAACATCCATAACAAATACGCCTAAGATTGATTAAAAAATTTCTGTAATAAGTTACCTCTTGAAAAAC